CGTTTTATAATGCTGAGTTGGGGGGGGTGTAGTGAGGAGGTTGGTGCACTGGGGAAGAGGGGCCCTGATTAAGCATTGCAGTGCATGTCGAAAGGGGGTATCCCAAGGAGCAGAATCTGTTTAGCTCAAGCTGAGGAGCAAGGAGTAGGCTACACTCTACACTCCAGCTGCTAGGGGGGGTTGGGGGGGTTTGGTTAGCTGATGTAGCAGCAAATTACAGAGTCAACTGTATGGGGCATTCTTAATATCTGAACGCTGAGTGGGACAGATACAGCGGTCAGATAAGGCCGGGGGTTCCTACTGTGGATTCAGGAAACGCCTTCTGTGGGCCCAGGAGTTTGGAAGCGTGTGTCGGAGGGAACGAAAATGTCATGAAGACATTAAAGCCCGATCGGCAACCAATAGCGAACCGTTGGTGCACTTGGGATCATTCTGCAGCGGAAAGGAACACATCCCAGGCGAATGAAACAAAAGTGTGATGGGAGCGACAATATCTGTTTTGGCGCCAGGGCTCGCCTTAAACAATCAGAGCCAACAAATCCATCGCCTTGGTATTTTTGTTTCTTCTTTTTTGGTGGGGTTGGGGGTGGGATTGCAAACGGTCGTGTTCCATTGCACATGTCCTGATCGGGCTGCGAGAGGGGACGGTTGCAAAAAGGTGGCTCAGGCGTCCCGCCATACAACAGCAACATCATCATCATCGTCGTCAGGGGAATCAGTTTATGGCTGTAACTCTCGCGCTCGCATCCGCCAGGCCAATCCCCTCAATCCGTTGGGCAAAGAGGCTCAGAAAACCTGTGGAGCTCTCTGTTAAAGTCGTCCCCGCCCTTCCCCGAGCTTACCTAGGAGGGAACTCAATGTCCAGTTCACAGATCTGATTGAAGAACATGGTGAGCTCTTTATCAAACTCCAGGAGCTGGAAGAGAGGCACTGGGTTAGTGTCAGGCCAGGCTCGCAAGCGGGGAAACGGGAAGGAGTCGGGTCCACCTACCGCTTTCCCGTTGTTGTGACGGAAAACTCCCTGGTCGAAATAATCGAAGGTTTTTGACTCTATCCTCAGCAGGACCTGCACGGTAAAGGGACAGAGCCCCAGTCATTCGCTGTCCGCTCCTGCGCGATGCGTGCCTTTACGTTAGCGCCTGCCCCCCCTCCCCCATCGAAGTCTCGCCAACAGAGTACAGCGCCCACCCCCTCACCCAGCCACCCAAAAGGGGACGGGAGTCTGCTTTTGGGGCGTTTCTTTATCGAGGCAAAGAGAGGAGGAAGACTGAGGTTTAGGGAGGGAATTCCCAAATTCCCCAGGGAGAGGAGGTGGGTGGGTACTAAATTCAGCTTCAGGATTGGAGAAAAGGGGGGTGGGGGTGAGAACAGACTCAGGGCAAGTCGGTTGAGGGGGGGAAGTGGATTTTTAAAGGTCCCTGATGATGATGTTGTGTGGCACTATAGGCTTGAAGGATCACATTTTAAAGATTTCCTCATGCTGTAGCAGTGTGGGCACAGACTCAGGGGAAAAGGTGGTGGAAAGGGGAGGGTGGGGGGCATCTGAGATGAGGAGGGGTTTTTTTCCTCGGAGGCTGGGGGAGTTGTGGGCAAAAAAAAAGAACCCCTTTCCCGACAAGCCTGACTTTTAAAAGCGAGTGTTTTGGTGTGGATACCTTGTGATCGTTCTCTGTCTCCTGAAAGATAACTTTCTTCAAATCCTCTGTGTCCGCATTCAGTACAGTTTCCACAGAAGCTGCGCTGCATAGACTCTGCGACATACACACACACACACACACACAGAACAGAGAGCATGAGTTATAAGTCACATTGGCACTCCGATGCCAATCTCCCAGCTGGGGCTCGGGTATAAAAACATGGCAGCGTTACCAAACGACTGGCAGCTTTTAGGGCTGGAACTATTTGTCGTGTCGGCATTTCCGCCAGTGCAGGGGAGCGATAGGAAGGAACAGGAGTCAGCGAGAGGCCAGCGAGTTGCGGGAGGGCAGCCTGATGGAGCTAGAGCCTAGAGCTGGAGTGGACCAGGGTGGTGCGGTAGAGGTAATGTATCTAGACTTTCGAAAGCACAAAAGGCAGACAAAAGCCAGTGTATCACGTCTAGAAAGAAATATTTTGCAGATTCTGGTGGGAAAGTGTTATGAGACTCGGCAGGGTCAGGTTAGTCAGCTCTTTACCGCAGAAGGTCACTTTGGTCTTAACTCTGTCTCCCGACAGGATTATGATGCCCACGGAGGGGATGAAAAGTGGGGGGGGATGGTCCGACGGACCGGGGTTTGGTAGGATCGGACCGGAGGAGGGTTTGATGGAACGCCGTGGAAAGGGACTGTGCCGGAGCGAGGCCGTGTGGGAATCTGGGAAGACCGACCTCAACCACTCTCTGAGTGTCCAACCTCACGTTGAAGTCTCCAAAAATAAAGAAGGGCTCCCTCTTGTAGCGGGCGTCTGTGATCCTAACAAAACAAAATGGGCAGGGTTTATATCGTCTCATCCATCTCTCCCTCTCCACCTCTCCCTCCTCTCTCTCTCCACCTCTCCCTCCATCACACTCTGTCCACTTCTCCCTCCATCTCTCTCCCTCCATCACACTCTCTCCACCTCTCCCTCTCCCCCTCCGTCTCTCCTTCCACCTCTCCCTCATCACACTCTCTTCACCTCTCCCTCCATCTCTCCCTCTCCAGCTCTCCCTCCATCACACTCTCTCCACCTCTCTCCCTCCATCACACTCTCTCCACCTCCGTCTCTCTCCCTCCACCTCTCCCTCCATCTCTCTCTCTCCATCTCTCCCTCCATTCTCTCCCTCTATCTCTTCCATCTCTCCCTCTATTTCTCTCTTCCTCTCTGTCTCTCTCTTTCTCCATCTCTTGCTCCACCTCTGTCTCTCTATGTCCCCTTCCATCTCTCTCCCTTTATCTCCATCCACCTCTCTCCCTCCATGTCTCTCTCCGTCTCTCTCTCTCTCTCTCTCCATCTTTCCTTGTACCTCTCCTTCTATCTCCCTCAACGTCTCTCTCCATCCACCTCTCCATCTCTCTTTCTCTCCAAATCTCCCTCCCTCCACCTCTCCCTCCTTCCATCTCTTCCTTCGTCTGTCTCTCTCTCCATCTGTGTCTCTCTCCATCTCTCTCCCCATCTGTCACTCCCTCCCTCTCTCTCCATCCCTCTCAATCTCCAATGCGCCCCCACCCCTCTGTTACTCTGTCCCACTTTCTCACTATCTCTTCTCACCACTCCATTGCTCCTCACCATATCTCCCTCCATCTCTCTCTCTCACCCCCACCCCCCAATGCTGTCCATTGTGATGTGAATCGTAAGGGTCTTGTATCCAGGCAGGATTCCTAATGAAGTATCTTCTACACCCCCAACACCACTCTATCTCAGAACCAAGGCAGCTGAAGTTAGACCTAATGTTCCTTGCTCCATGCTGAGAAATCTTAGAGACCATCAGTCGACCGTATCGATACGAGCACACCTCAGAGTGAAAGAGCCTAGCTTCCCATTAAGAACCCAAGGTACCCAACCTGTTGCCGGGCAGAACTCAGAGTAGGTCATCTGACCTTCCCCACCCCTCCCCCATTCCCTGTCACCCCACCCATTTAAACAGACAGTCCCAATCACACGGATGTGGATGTCTTAACACCAAACCTGTTAAGGACGTATCCCAGCGCCTTCCTCCTGTTTCCCGGGAAGGTGGAGGGGCTTTTCCAGGCCACGAGGTTGGAGGCGTCGTGGAAGAGGTGGATGTTCACCAGGTCAAAGACGCTGGCACGAGAGAGAGGGAAAGGGAAAAAAAACTCGATCAGAGGGGTGTAGGAGGGGCGAGGTGAAAGATGGCACGCAGAAATAGCCGCCGGCGCCCACTCACCCCCGCACCGGCTAGACCCGGTGCACAGCAAGATCCCATTGCCCTGTGCCGCAAAACGGGAGGGTGGTTCTGCACGGGGTGGGGGGGGTTGAGAGAAATGGGCAGGAAGCGCGGGGCCGTCTCGCAGTGGGCTAGCACACATCGAACGGGCTGACGGGTCTCCGCGAGACGCCCAAGCGGTTTCTCTGAGCGGCGTTCCGCTTCTGTTGAGCTCAGGACCCCAAAAGGGGGTGGACGAGGGACCGTCGAGCGGGCAGGCGGGGGTCGTGCGTGTGCCTTACCGATTCTGCAATTTCCAGCGAGTCCAGATGTAGCCTTTCCGAGACCATTTAAACTAGGACAGACGGAGAGAGAGAGGGGGGAGAACGTCACTTCCAGGAAAACCATCCACAAGGCACAAGTCAGGAATGTGATGGAATACTCCCCTCTTGCCCCGAATGGGGGCAGCTCCAACAACACTCAAGAAGCTTGACACCATCCAGGGACAAAGCAGCCCCCCACTCGACTGGCCCCACATCCACAAACATCCCACTTCCCCCCCACCACCGACGCTCAGTCACAGCAGCGTGTACCATGTACAAGATGCCTTATTCACCCCCACCTCTGGTGCGTGGACTGACCTCGGGCCAGAAGTCCTGAGCGAACTTCTCCTTCTCCACCATGCTGTGGCTCTCGAGACGGGCCGAATGGACCTCTTTCCCGAATACTGCCTTGTATTCCTGAGCTGGAGATGACCAGACGGCACAGGGTGAGCCTCCCGAAGATGCCAACTGCGTTTGCCAGTCTCTCGCCCTCCCCACCGACTGGGTAGAGGGTTCTCCGTTCCCTCCCCCCGACCTGGAGACTTCTTCAATTGCGACCTTCCCCCCCGACCCACCTTTTCGAATTTACGCCGATCAGAATCCCTCAGTCTTAGTCCTCCCGCGCCGTGACCTTCAAACGCCCCCCTTCCCCACCGCGTGCGTTCCCGACAAACTCGAAAGGCCCTGGTTGGCTAAGTGTTCTGCCGATTTTACCCGGGCCTGGGCCTACGCGTGACTCCAGACCCACCCCAACCAACTTCCGCTGCAGAGCCGGAACTGCCCCTTCGAAACGGCAGCAGCGAGGCCCGGGGGAGCAATTAAGGACGGGCTGGTGAACGGCAGGAGGTAAACAGGCCGCGCGGGCGGAGAGGGGAGGCCGGACGCTTCAGGTAAAACCGCGGACGGAGAAAACGGAGATTACCTTCGAAGTCAAACTGGGAGACCCCTTGAATGGATTTGTGCAGGAAATACAGACTGCCCAAAGCCTAGGAGAGGATGCAGAGCGGATTAAAGACGCGGTAATCCCGGGGCACATCTCGATTATAACGGAAATCGCTCCTTCAGGCGTGGTTTGTCAGGGGACAGACTCTGCTGAGAGATAGCATGCCCAGGATGGGCTGAATGATCTTGGTTGGAGGACAGGATCTCACTTTGTTTACCCCCTCCCCCGTCTAGTTCCTGAGGAAGGGTCACCGGACCCCGAAACGTTAACTCTGGTTTTTTTACTCTTTCACAGATGCTACCAGGACCTGCTGAGCTTTTCCAGCAACTTCTGTTTCAGTTCTGTTAGAATTTGGTGGCTATCCACGAGGCTCGCCTTCCCACCCCCAACGGCCCACAATTCCTCTAAACCCCAGCGGATATGTTCCGAACCCGTCCAGTCTCTCTTCGTGTGGATGCAGACCAGCACGGACATGAGGGGCTGAAGGGCCACTTTCTGAGCTGCCAAAGCTCTCTGTAAGAGATAAGAATGTGAGGGGCTGGGGGGAGTCCGGGGCGGCTCGCGGGTGGCGCGGCGTCTCCGAGCCACTTACGGTGAAATTGTCGTGGGCGCAGAAATCCTTGTCAATGTAGGCGCGGGCACAGGTGTAGTCCCTCATCTCTCGGCTCTCCAGGAGGTCCCTGTGGAGAAAGACAGATCGGAATGATGGGGCGTCCATGGCACACGGCACCCTGGCACGGGGGGGTCGCGACGCACTGACCAAGGAGGGCTGCACTGGCGTGGCCATAGAGCCCGGGGTGGGGGGGAGGAATCGTCTGAGAAATTCAGAGGGCAAAGCAAAGGAGATGGTTTACCACCCACTGCGCTGGCACAGCCGCTCACGGGGAGTTTGGCCCCATCTCTGCAGACACGCCACCAACGACAGACAGAAAGTTCCTCAGGGCATTCTGCAGTGACCCTCCGACAGTGCGGCGCTCCCTCAGCACTGACCCTCCGACAGTGCGGCGCTCCCTCAGCACTGACCCTCCGACAGTGCGGCGCTCCCTCAGCACTGACCCTCCGGCAGTGC